CTCCCCTCCCCCCTCCATGTGGTCCCGTCGCTCGCTTTCTATCACGCATCTCAGATCTAAATATATAACTTAGAGGCGATATTCAGCGATGCCACATGGCGAATTAACAAGGCAAACTTTTGTAGAAGACGTACGAAAATCTCTGGCACAACGAGTCCCTTTGTTCAACTCTCTCCGTCACACGCAAGTACGATTACCACTCATCNGTACGATTACCACTCATCTCCCCCCCCCTCCCAAATGAGCCAATCAATCAGCAGGAAATGATACCCGATAAAAATAAACAATAAATATCGTACATTTTTTTGGCATTGTCAAATCCAATTGTCGTCGACCACAGGACACGTCAGAAATCGAAAAACCCGCAGTAACAGTTCCATCCTCACGTGTCGTCAAAAAGTCTGCTAAATTCTCACGTCAGGACACAGTCGCTTAATATCACCGATTGGCTCACAGCTAATCACACAGGCGATTAAATAAAAAATCCTATCGCGCTGACAACGAAAAAGTGCGTACGCTCCTGATCTTGAATGACCGCTGACCCACAATCTCACAGCACAATGAAGCCGAACACAAGTCGCGAAAAAATGAATGAACGATGTGAAAATTAATCCGTCGGATGATTAGCCGACAGTTGGCAAAGCAGTCGATAGTGGGGTTGTACCCATGTCGGGTTGATCGCGAGCATCACGCGATGCACCCGAAAATTTCTCACCGAAAAAAAAAAAAAAAGAATGAAAAACGTCTACTCTTGTTGCACCGACGCCCGTTCGATTGTGCGAAACGCCATGGCCACGTGCGTGTCTACACCACAAACACGCATAAAAGCCCGAGTACATGTACACCTCATGATTATTCCGACAATTCGCAAGTATTCACCACTTATTAGTCTTTTGCGAACTGTTGTCACTTTGGCACCAGTTTTATTAGCGGGAGGAAGGGGCTGTGCGACAGTGGCAATTCTGGATGCGATATTTCACCACCGATTATTGGGTTTTTTCGTGAAACACTAAGAGTGGCACGCGTTACTAACGTTCCCCATCGGTGGCAATAAGGCGGGCCTATCGTTCGCCGAGATCAGCGGTGAATCGGCGAGGTGGCGTGCTTGGGCCAAAACGACGGGGGAGCGATTCACTTGGCGGGACAATTCGAATTAACTTACGCGCGTATACCAAACACACGGGTAATCACCACTGACGACGTTCACTCGCTCCCACTGGTGCATTAGGTTTATTTTTTGAGTCGATGGGAAGGTCAGCCCCGCAAACGCGAAATCAAAATTGCTCGGGTGTTTGTAGTCTACGAAACTTTCATTTTTTTCTCCCCCGGCTTTTGTTTTCTATAAAAATGTTTCAAGTCGATTTTCACTGTCGACCAGTTTTCCGCGAATATCTCGGAATCTAGGGGGGATAGCGGAATCTTCGTAAGGACCTTTTTTGCAGCTCTCGATCCGCTCTACAAAGAAGGTCCTCACGAAAATTCCGGTATCTCGATTAGATTCGGGGATATTTCACGAAAAGGCGGAAGAGGGCCGAGTTGAATTGAACGGTTGAACCGCTGCGCTACTCAATCCCGCATTGTTTACATTGAAATACTCACCGGAATTGTAATATTCCTTAAAATAGCGTGTCGCAGCGCGCTGCACAATAGAATAATACAGGTTGACGTACGACGTTGACTGATTCTGTGCTGAGAGCGCCATTTACGCCGTTATTTTTACTATTTACTGGTGATCACGAAGTTGTATTCAATAACTGAACACAAACTTATACAAAACAATGTGTTCAATTGTTGATAGCACGTTGTTCCTTCACCACCGATAATCATTAAAATTCAATTCGTCGCACCCACAAAACTTGATAACTGGTCCAATAAAATAAAAAAAACATTGATAAATCGTTTGAAAATACACTTGCGTGTTCACACGTCTCACGCGCGCGCGGTTTATTCCTCAAAAGACGGACGGGTATTTTAAAACGGGCGGTGGGGG